TAATGTCTGGGCTTAAACTTTGGGTACTCTAGCTGTTGATGTCAGGGGTTAAACATTGGGTACTCTAGCTGTTAATGTCAGGGGTTAAACTTTGGGTACCCTAGCTGTTAATGTCAGGGGTTAAACTTCGGGTACCCTAGCTGTTAATGTCAGGGGTTAAACATTGGGTACCCTAGCTGTTAATTTCAGGGGTTAAACATTGGGTACTCTAGCTGTTAATGTCAAGGGCTAAACTTTTGGTACTCTAGCTGTTAATGTCAGGGATTAAACATTGGGTACTCTAGCTGTTAATGTCAGGGATTAAACATTGGGTACTCTAGCTGTTAATGTCAAGGGCTAAACTTTTGGTACTCTAGCTGTTAATGTCAAGGGCTAAACTTTTGGTACTCTAGCTGTTAATGTCAGGGGCTAAACTATGTATGAATGGTGCAGAATAGATGTTTACTTCTTGAGGATTCAATCCCTCAGCATTCCTAGAATGTCAAAGTGGGTCACAAAAGGGTGTTCCACCTCTTTCAAAATCCCAATTTAACCACAAGTTAACATCATATTTACATCTATAATCCCAGTCCCAGTAGTATCTCATAAGTTTTGTTGGATATCTTGGATTTAGGTTACCAATGGATCCATATAATCCCACATAAACTGATTGCTACATTTCATATTTGAAATATTTAGTTGACTGTTGATTGGGAGTAAAAAGAAAGACCATTTCATTTTTCAAAGAAGATGGGAACATTGACATGGAAATTGGTTTGTCTTGAATTTCACGCAAAGCTACAAGAGAGCTATCTGCGCTAGTCGTCCCTAATTTAGCAGTGTAAGACTAGAGGGAAGACAGCTAGTCATCAGCACCCACCGCCAACTCTTGGGCTACTCCTTTATCAATGATTAGTGGGACTGACCGTCACATTATAATGCCCCCACAGCTGAAAGGGCGAGCATGTTTAGTGGGACGGGGATTCGAATCCGCGACCCTCAGATTGCGAGTCGAGCACCCTAACCACCTGGCCATGACGGGCCCAACAGGGAAACAGATTTGAACGAAGAAGTTTTGTAAAGAGCGCGAATGGTAGTGTGATTTAAAATTACTCATGCTAGAAATTTTCATTAAAGTGACCCGAAAAACGGCGCTAACTCGGTAACTTATGGCCCGATTTTAATGAAACTTGTTTTATTCTGTTTCTATTCTCATTTCATTACAAATATGGTGATATTGTGCACAGTTTTTGCTGTATTTAATTACAGACAAGCAAACAATCTCAGAGTTTTAGTAGTATATAGATAATACTTTAAAGGCTGGTTTGACAAGCCAGGTGATATAGCTTATTGTTGCATAATTAATATTTATATAACCATGTCTTGATTATTAGCATCAATTTACCACTTAATGGTTTCAAAAGTAGACAATACAACAGTTTGAGACAAGACTGTATTAAAATAAATAGCTAAAACTTTCATTTGTAAATTTTATGTCGGTCCACTAACTGTGATATTGAATGTCTAACCCTTCTTTACAAAAAGTTTCTTTAATTATTAGCAATTTTAAATCTCAGATGCAGTGACGCGTGCAACATTTTATAGCATGTGCATGCAAATGTAACGTGTTGTACAGGACCTATAAATTGACCCCAACCTATGAAGTTATTACAAGTACAGTGTTGATCAGTTAAACGATGCAACATGCCACAGAAACTCCTTTCCGACACTATATTTAAAACTACTATCAATACATAACTCTCATAAAAAAAAAAGCCTATACTAAGTTACAGTAAACAAATCACCTGGTGTCACAACTCATAATCATTTGTTTATGAAACAATGAAAATACGTGTTCATATCAAATGTTTTACTTTTCAAACTTGTTTGGCTTATGTACCTAGTATTGGATTTAAAAATGATTACTGGACCATGATGTGAGGTTATGTCCTGATTAAAACAGCATGTAATACAATACACTTGTTTGTTAATATCTTACTCCTTTTTCACAGTTGTGTGCACTTAAAGTTGGTGCTGTGACCATAGCCTACAGGTCTCCAACTATGATAAATGTATTACGAGTAAGCACAAAAGTATTGCTAATTGTTCCTAGAACAAAATGGAAAAGTTAAAAAATGATATAATCCAAATAGTTGATATGATAAGCAGCCTGCTACAAAGGAACTATGAACCCATCACCTGCTTTAAAAAACCTGTCTATAATTCATTAGAACTGTATATGTGTTAATGCATAAATTTCTACCGAACCAAGTTTTTCTGAATTAAGAACATTTTGTGTGTCTAACAAATAGACTTAAGCTAGTACACTAACAAGATTAAGAAATAGTACTTGTTTAGTTTTAAGTTTCATTTAAACATTTGGTTCACACTTAACTTCTCAAACACTAGTGCTTTGTATGTGTATAAGAAAGCAGCATACGCATTGCATGAACTATGACAAGAACAAATTATAAATATATATATTCCTATTTTATTAAATAATATCAGCAAGCTCAAATAATGAGAACATCACTTTCAGAATGGAATGTTTTAATTCAGAAACTTTTAGGCCACTCAGATTTTAAGATTACCTGTAATTACGAGCTGTTTTTAATAAAAGTTTCAGCTAAAACAACCATAATTTCTGTATCTTGTATGCATTGAATAAAAAAATAAACTGTGACTGATAGCTTTGATTTTATAAGATTTGTTTTACGTACTGTTCTGTTAAAAATAATTTAAAATAGTAAATTAACAAGAACTACATTACATGTATATTTCATTGTATAACCTTATTGAAAGAAATTTTAGGTTTGTGAAAATTTTAACACTTTTTGCATAGTTGCATAAACACTGTCCATTTTGTTTTTGTTTTGTTAGATGGTGTACAAAATATATATATATATATCTGAATATAAAGAAAATTAATTTTGTTTCTAGGTTGCACAAGCTACTAAATCTATTAAACATGTAACTTCATCAGAAAAACCAAAAATTTTGATAAAACAACAGTAGGAAAACTAATCCACATGAAGTTTGTATGTAGATACATCGAATTTAATAAATCGAAACTCACGGAATGATTTGATTATTTACGACATCCCAGGTTTCGATTATATATTTAAACCTGTATGCAATATGTAAAAAAATTATGTAGATAATTTATAGGGGTTATGTCCTAGTGATTGCATAAGGATGTAATTTCCAGGTGAGCCTATAAATACAACCTAGAATTTATCAGAAGATGATACAAGTTTAAAATGCCCATGGTCCTTAGTTTTTAAAACTCTTCATATCTTTGATTTTCCAATATTACAGGGTATAAATCCTGCTTGAAACATAAGTAACCGTAAATATTTGGTTTGAGACCCATAGTGTGCAGATGTGACCAAAACCATTTCTCATTTTCTACCATCCACAAATCTGTTACATTTATAAAATAATTTATCTTAACGTTATAAATGAAAAACATCTTTATGTACATTACACACACTTTATAACTGTCGAGTCCTTTTATAAGCGAGAAATTAATTTTTTTCGTTTGTAGGAAAACAAAAAATACCTGTTACACACGTGTACAATTAGTTTTATAATACATAAAATCTTTCGTTTACTGTTTTACTACATGTACTTTCTTTCTTACCTCTAACCTAGAACGGAGAAGCTGTTGATAAAACTTCAGGACATTTGTACCTGCTTTTATCAATGATTTGTTAGAGCAAAGTATGTTTATCTCTCAATAGTTAAATATAACAGTTCAATATTTCAGTCCTGGAATAAGTGATAACACATATAAAATCAATTGGGAATAAATTTCTTTCAATAATTCAACACTGCATCTACTTATTTGATCAATCAGACAGTTTATCGACAGGGTCTTCCTTTTACATTCTTACACTTTGAAGTAATAAGTATGGGGTCCAAGTTAAATGAACCATTTTGAAATAGAACTTACAACATTAAGTTATAGTAGAATCAACAGCATTAACAAAACCGGTTTGTACTGATATACAAAGTATTTAAAAAAATAAGTCGGATTTAATGGGTTTTCGGTAAACATATCTTCTGAAATGCGTACGTGTTTGTTTAACACACGAACTTTTATCACTTCTTTGAAGCACTGTATAAAATTACAGTGTTGTGTACATGAAATTTAACATTTATTGATGTGAGCACAGCTACAAGTAAATATTCATACACCAACAACATTCTCACCATCACATTCTACAAGAAAATACAGAGTTGAAACCTCAGCAGCCTGGGTTATTATATGGCAAAACTCTCCATTTTCTCAGTAAGAAGAAACTTGAAAATTAGGACCTCGTGCACCTTCCTCAGAACCAGTTGGGAAAGGTGGCTCTTGGTATGCCTCATTCATATCTGGACCTCTTGGGTAACTGCTATACGGGCCGTCTCCTGGTCCTGCATTAGGGTTGGCATCGTAGCCAGTGCCAAATGACGTGTCCAAACCCAAATGATAACGCTTAAAAGCTAGATATGCACAACCAGCCTGTAATAAAAAATATAAATCAAAGAAAACCTCTGCATCTTAGATGCCCAAAGAGGAAAAAAAATTTAAATGTAACAGTCAGTGTATATATTTTTTTATCTAAAAAAAAACAAAAACTAATAGAAAAAAAAAGACTCTTTTAATATTTCATTACTTATCTTTAGGAAACTTGAAGAGGAATACCATTTTTTGATGGTAGTGCAAAATTCCAAACCTGCAGAGAAAGCTTTCGACTAAGATTGAGATTCTCTTTTATAACACAAAATAGTTTCATTTTCAGCAGCTAACATCGTCCTCTATCCAGTAAAGTTTGCATATCTATAACTATTTGAATAAAATAAAGTTTCTGGACATTCAAAGATTAAATTTCTAAATTATTTTTTGTTTTGAAATATTCTTTTCGTCAAATTATCTGCAATTTTTTCATATTCTAATTATAAATATAATTTGTGTGGATAATCTGTGGATAAAAAGTTCATTATTCTTATAATTTTTAACTTTACTATGAAACTTTGTTTACCTAAAAGAAATGTTTATCTAACTTGAGAAACTGAAAAAAAAAGATAAATTGCCTTTTCTTGATATCCAAATAAACAGATTAGATAACCAGTTTATAGCATCTGTTAATCGTAAAAAAAAACAAAAAAAACACATACAGGCATATGTACTAAATTGGATAGTTTTATTCTGGACTCCTTGAAACATAACCTCATATTCAGTCTTCTGAATGGAGCATATAACATCTGTTCTGACTACCTCTCTCTCTCTCCATACCAAAATCTAATAAACAATGGCTATCCCTTGCATTTTATCCAAACCCACCCTACCTAATAAAACTGAAACACCAAGGAATCTACACTACAGACAAAGATCCATTTAAAAGTGGTCATTCTTATTTAGATAAACAATGTTTCATACTAAAGACACATATTATTAGAATAATTAAAAACAGGTAAAACTTCAAATTATATTCAGACTTACCCAGAGAAAGACAGAAAAAAAGCTGAAAGCAATGGCTGCCCTAGCATTACCAATACCAAAACCTCCCAAGGGGTATTCTGCCCGACGCCATGCATCACATAAGTAGCAGAACCCCACGAAAAACATGAAGGACCAGAAACCTACAACAAAAATTGTGATCAATTGATAATTCAAAGATAACTAATTTTTTTTTTCTTCAAATCATTATTTTGATTAAAATAGAAGGATTAAAGAACTTATGGTAAATATAAATCATACTGATAAAAGTAATTATGATTATGATGACACTGTATTTAACTCTATGATGTCTACGTTTGTCAATACAATATTCCCGTTGTTTGGCATGTTTTATTGTATTGCAAAAAACTACTGAACAAAATAGCTTGGAACTTCAGAATTCCTCTCTACAGGTAATGTAGCTTCTGCATATAAAATATATTATTTTTTATATGTAAAGTGTAATAGACTTTATACGTGATCATTTGTGCTAAGTCTTTTATCAAAAATTATTTTCATATGTGATATTTGTAAGATTTCACAGCTTTGAAATTTCACAAAAGGTTTCCTTGTGGTATGTTTTGAAAGTATATAAAAAAACAAAAAATTTGTAACTAAAATCTACAAGAAAACTAAGTATTTTCAACTTTAATTATCTTTTTTCTTTATGTCTTCATACATTCTTTTAAAACTAGCTAAAATATGAAATGATAATGCAAGCTTTTAAATAATTAGGACAATAATTGTAATAGTTGCTCTAAAACATCAAATCATCTAACAGGATATAACCAAGTTAAGCTTTTATCACTTTTTTCTGATCTTTACATGAATCTACGTTGAATTGAAAGCCTTTTTGACTTTAACAGTTGAAAGGAATAGATGAGGAGTTTCATTAAGACTCCTTGAAACTGATATATAGTTTGTTTGTTTTTTATTAAAAACTACTTTATTTTCCTTCCAGGAGACTATGAGTTTAACATGATACTCAGAAAAAAAATTCAGTAAATTCACAAACACTTGGGATTTCCTCGGAAGCATGCTAAAATCAATCAAAAAAATTCAGTAAATTCACAAACACTAAGGATTTCCTCGGAAGCATGCTAAAATCAATCAAAAAAATTCAGTAAATTCACAAACACTAAGGATTTCCTCGGAAGCATGCTAAAATCAATCAAAAAAATTCAGTAAATTCACAAACACTAAGGATTTCCTCGGAAGCATGCTAAAATCAATCAAAAAATTCAGTAAATTCACAAACACTAAGGATTTCCTCGGAAGCATGTTAAAATCAATCAAAAATATAAATTGGCAACTTATATTATTCTTAAGTACACAGTTAAATGAGTAAAACATTTTTTATAATTTAAATTTCAAGGTGTGGAAAAAAACAACAAGTTTATTTTCTCTAATATTTTTAATTCAATGCTGCAATTTTTCCCTTGAGGTGAAGTGCGCATATATAAAAGGAAAGATTTACAAAACAGATTGGCCCGGCATGGCCAGGTGGTTAGGCCGCTCGACTCGCAATCTGAGGGTCGCGGGTTCGGATCCCCGTCACATCAAACGTGCTCGCCCTTTCAGCCGTGGGGTCATTATAATGTGACGGCCAATCCCACTATTCGTTGGTAAAAGAGTAGCCCAAGAGTTGGCGGTGGGTGGTGATGACTAGCTGCCTTCCCTCTAGTCTTACACTGCTAAATTAGGGATGGCTAGCGCAGATAGCCCTCATGTAGCTTTGCGCAAAATTTAAAACATACAAACAAATACAAAACAGACAAACTCTGAAGTACTATAATATACACCATTCAATACAAAGTTAAGTCTAACTAGCAAAGAAATCACAATTAAATTTTAAGACTGGTGTCAGGCTGATTAATCAGTTACATTCACCTTATAGATTATTCTCACATGAAATTTAGATCATTGGAATAATCAAAAATAATAATAATCGGAAACACTAATTTTGATCGGTTGATTATTCTCACGACTTTATTCAAATTAATTGGCCAGTTCTAATACTTGTATTTCTTATTCCACTGAGAAAAAAAGGTAAAATATAACTTGTGTGATACGATACAGAAATTCTATTTATAAAAATCATTCAGCTTTCAATAATTATTAAATGGACCATTTTTGACCCATTGATTTGTGTGTAGTACAAAGAAGATTAAATTTTACACGTGCAGCAAAAAAAACTAATTAATTACGTGCCACAAAACTAATTAATCAATAAAAAAGGTTTAATTATTAATCCAATGTATCTTAAAATGTTCTAAAGTTCATATGAAGGAAAACCATAACTAATAAAAACATTAATGCTTAAATTTCTTAATACAGTAATAAACCAAATATGCAATTAATTTTGACATTAGCTTGGTGCAAGTACAAAGGAAATATTTTGTATTTATTTTCTAGTTTTTTTTTTTACATTTAAGAGTAAAAAAGTTGACATTTTCCTTATCTGAAAATGTATTTCCGATAGATACTCATCTCTCAAAATACTGATAGATATTACCTTAAACCACTGCCAAAAAGAATTCTGTGCATACGGCAAGTTTCGAATAAAACACCCACCCTTACATGTACTAATGTGTACTGTGATAATCTATGTTCAATGAGCATGAGACTATAGCTCTCCACCAATAGGAAGGTGATGCTTTCTCCATGAACAGTAAACCCCATGAGAACCTCGTAACCATTCTTGCAAAGACTCATTCACGATAAAAGGAAACACACAGGAAGTGGGGAGGTTATGTGGGGAGGTATCTATCTGAAATTCATTTTGAGGTAAACAAAACATTACTCAACTCACCACGGGAGTAATAGCTGAAATCCCACTTTCCAGCATTTTGAAGAAGGTTAAGGATTGAATATGTCATTCCTTGAATAGTGGGCAAGTGTCAGAGGATTGGAAGTTTGTTAATGTTACTCCTCTTTTCAACGGAAGTGAAAACAATTTGTTCCTGTAATTATAGGCCTATTAATCTTACATCAGTGGTGGGAAAAAAGTGCTTCAAAATCTGTTAAAAGATGTTTTGCAGAGTCTTAAAATTTGGCTGAATAGTCAGCATGTTTCACAAAGGCAAAATCTTGCCTTACTAATCTTATGATATTCTTTGAAAAAGTTATTACTTATGTAGATGAGGTTAAAGGTGTGTATTTGAAGTATGTGGATTTTCAGAAAGCATTTGATAAGGTGCCACATAAAGGACATTATTTATAAAAACGTGACTAGCTGGGTTCTTATAAATGGAGTTCAGTCAAACTGGATTAATGACATTAGACGGATACCTCAGACCTTTTTCATTTACATCAATGACATAGATTAAATAAGGGTAAATAAATTAATTAAATTTGCTGATGATATTAAGGTCTTGGGTGTTGCTATTTGTGAGGAGAAAGATGTTTTATAAAAGGATTTTGATTTTTTTTTAAAGCTCAGTGAATAATGACAGATGGCTTTAATTATAATAAATGCAAGGTAATGCATATGGGTTATCATAATTTGGATTATAAATATAATTTTAATAGAAATAATAACCTTAGCAGTGTTATGAAAGCAAAACATGTTGGTGTTCTGGTTGGTCAGTCTCTTAAGTCAAAGGAGCGTGTGTTATCTACAGTAATATTGGATTTAAGTCTAAAGATGTTATAATTTCATTGTGTTTGTCTTTGGTTAGGCCACATTTGGAATAGCGTGTTCAGTCATTTGGTTACCTAAACAGTAAAATACAGTCAAATATTAAAATACTATAGGCTATGGCAGAGAAATACAAATATTAAAATAATCTGAAATTACATTTCAAAAATGTCACTTTGAACTAAACAGATATTTATGATATCAGATTGACACTCACCTGAAAGTCCCAAGTCACAAAGAACCAATCGTTTGCGAATTTTGACACTTGAGATATTCTCAAACAATGCTTCACCCACCAGGAGACCCATACTAGTTAAAAATGCAATAACTCCTATACCAACTCCATAGTTACAAGCATTGCTATCCTTGTTAAAAAGGCAGTCATCATTCAGCCATCCTTCATCGGCAATGCATCCAAAAACTACAATGGCAAAAATCTGTGTAACAAAAAATAAAATTATTTCACTTCAGGAGAACCTGCAAAAACATTTCACTACAAGATCACAAATTTAGAATTTAAAAAATTAAAACAAATATAATTCAAGTATGGGCAAAACTGTGGCTATCTGTTAGTCAATAAGGAACAAATGAGGTACTTTAAAAGCATATGTGTAGTACAAAACTGAAAATGGAGATGCACAAAACATCAAAAAACTGATATACTCAATGTCTAACCAATAGAACAAGGAAAACATTGTGGATGTACAAAACATCAAAAACTGATATACTCGATGTCTAACCAATGGAACAAGGAAAACATCGTGGATGTACAAAACATCAAAAACTGGTATACTCAATGTCTAACCAATGGAACAAGGAAACATCAAAAACTGATATACTCAATGTCTAACCAATGGAACAAGGAAAACATTGTGGATGTACAAAATATCAAAAAACTGGTATACTTGATGTCTAACCAATGGAACAATGAAAACATCGTGGATGTACAAAACATCAAAAACTGATATACTCAATGTCTAACCAATAGAACAAGGAAAACATTGTGGATGTACAAAACATCAAAAACTGATATACTCAATGTCTAACCAATAGAACAAGGACAACATTGTGGATGTACAAAACATCAAAAAATGATATACTCAATGTCTAACCAATGGAACAAGGAAAACATCAAGAACATGATTTATTTCTTTTTCACACATTGAATTTAAAAGTTCTCACATAATACACGCTGAGTGTTTAATAACGTGACACTTTAGACACTTGTACATTACTTATTTTACTGGATACATAAAATATTGATTGAGAAGATAGCCTCTTCTCTATAGATACAAACAGAATGTTTTATCTAAGATGAAAAACATGAAAGACCAAGTTTTTAGATTGTTTAACAGTCCTTTCTAAGACTATCTAATCTGAAAACTCAAAAATATGCTTAATTTTCAGAAACACAGTTACTTATATCAATTTTATAAAATTTACACAGATTCTTTTCACATTCGGTAGTGTACTTGCTGTTTCAATTAATGCTGAAAAAGATCTAGAGATTTTGAATGGTGACTACACACCAAATTTAAGTACAAGCATGTATGCCTTTCACAAAATTTATACCATGAAAAACCTAAACATTCTAATTTCTAGATTTTAGAAGATTAACATCTTATGGCTACTACATCATCTCACAAGTATGTTCATACCCACTGGCTGTGGTAGTAGCCTTAGCTTCATTACGATCTACGAGTAACATAACTGTACTAAACCCCGGGACTTGTGAAGTACTTCCCCTTCACGTCTTAGTTACCAATAATCTGATACCATCTACCCTATTTTATGCATCTTTTACCACACAGACAATAGGTTTTTCAAATAAAATAATGCAACCTAAATTAACCAACCCATACCACAGAAAAAGAGAAAACTATTAGGTTAAATATCCTTTGTTCATGATATAACAGCAAGACACATTTAGCAAGCAATGTATCTTATGACATGTTGTATTGTTAAATTAATTGTGATAATAATTATTATTATTATCTGGCAAAACTCAATGACTATAGCTATAGGAAACACCTGTAACGTAACTTCAAAGTCCAATATTTCACTTTATAGTTTCATCAAAGATATGAACTCCACAACTTAATAAAATGCTGAAGTCTAACACTAATGTTGTAAAACAATGCTGTTTCTTGATTGTATACATGTGTTAAAGATTTCTTTTTTACCAAAGAGAATCTGTGACGTAGAAGCCTAATGCATTCTTTGATAGGCCGTACCCTCTGCTGTGGACTGCAGTTTCACCTATTCAAGGCTCATCAGCAAAGCTTGGGTCAACAAAACCAAAGGAATACCATTAGGCCTATTATAATGGTAATATCTATGGTGTTTTGAGTCTGTTTTACATCACTGTATAATAAACAAAATTGATTTGGGAATGTGAATAATGTTACAAGATTTTGTTGACTTCATTATTATACAGTAGACCAACTGTTTATTGATTGTATATGTCAAAGATTTATTTTCTCTTTCACTAGAACTGTTTCCTGATGTCATGTGTTGAAACTATTATATGATCTTTACATTCTACTCAGCTTTACATAAAGTTAGTGGTTGAGTAATTAAGATTGTAAAATTTATAGATGATTTTTCAAATGCATGAATCCAACAAATATATTGTAATTACAGGATAAAAACAGTTCTAAAGTACATTCAAGGACTATCTCACTCAATCTTTATTTTATTCTAATATTTTAAAAACTATTTCTTACAAGTTATACTATACACTTAATAAGTTTGTTTAAAGTATTCCTTAACTGCACTTGTTAACTTTACATATAAATTTACAGTGATAGCTAATGAAGTTACCAATACTTTCTTTCAATAAAATGTCTGAACTATGCAAATATAAGATGTACAAATGAAACAATTATTAAGAATAAAAATAATGTTACTTGTATACTATTTCTTTCAAAGTAAACAAAATCCAACAAGCAAAATTCTCTCTACTGAACATTTTTACTTTGACAGAAGTGAAACATTTTTCTTCTAAAGCCAGACCGACAGTGTTAGTGCCACAAATACAGATATATATAGTGGTATTTGTTTTCTACCGCTATACAGATAAAAGAAAGATGAGATGACAGACAGCCAGTCAGCCCACTGTGGTCACCCTCACCACTCTCCAAAACCAATCAAAGTATCAAAACTAAACATGTAACTTTAGGTAGTCAACAACAAATATATATATATAGCATTTGAGCTTTAAAAACTTAATCTTATTACTTTTAATGTTCATGTTGAAATTTCCTACCTTTTCATTTTACACAAACCAAATGCTAGTGAATCCTTAACAATTTTGATAAATTTATTAAGTAACATCTGCATTTCTTCTGTACTTCAAAGAAGGGCCCCGGCATGGCCAGGTGGTTAGGGCACTTGACTTGCAATCTGAGGGTCACAGGTTCGAATCCCCGTCCCACCAAACATACTCACCCTTTCAGCCATGGGGCCTTATAATGTAACAGTCAATCCCACAATCTGTTGGTAAAAGAGTAGCCCAAGAGTTGGTGGTGAGTGGTGATGACTAGCTATCTTCCCTCTAGTTTTTCACTTCTAAATTAGGGATGGCTAGCACAGATAACCATCATATAGCTTTGCACGAAATTCAAAATAAAACAAACTTCAAAGCCTTCCTTAAAACTTAAGTGAATTTATCCAGGCATCATTCTGGTAACCTCACTAATCTGTCCTCTTGAAAACTTCAGTATGTTGATATCCTTGCAGTATTAATTCAGTAGAACCAAACTGCCCATAGTACCCCAAATTTTAGATTCATATAAATACATTTCAAAACTTTATTTGTTATTTTCATTAAATTGCAGGATTCTTAATATTTCTTTCCTGCTGAAAAATTAATTTGTTGCAGAATGTGAAAGATAAAAATTTAAGAATTCCCCAAATTAAACTATTATTTGCTATTCTCAGCTGAAAAACTCAGATTGGATTAGTTTTACCAATAATGATATCTAAATCCTCTTTTGCTACAAGTATCAATGCTGGTACATATATTATACAATAAACAACTCTTTCCCGACTCTTTTGTCCAAAGTCCGTAACTTTACATTTCTCAATACTGAAGCTTATATTCCATATTAGGTCCCACACAATTAATACTTTCAGTAAATGCACCAAACAGGTTTTTGGATCTGAAAGCAAGTCAGTGGTGTAATGTTAAGAACTAAAGAGCATGAAACCAAAATAAGGATTTAATTTTGAAAACACACAAATATTTACATGGCTTCCAACCTTTAGGAATGTTTGAATGTCACTTTTGAAAAAGTACAATTTTAGTCATGCAGTAAAGTGCTGTGAGCTTCCAAGGTAGTCACCATCTAAGGGCATGTGGGGACATGCTCCCCCATATAACCTTTTTATTCAATTAAGCAAAATGATAAAATCTGTTGCATTTCCTGGATCAACGTGATGTTGAATTTCGCTGGATCCAGCATGTTTTTTTGTTTTTAATTTTTTTTTAATTTTATTAATGCATGTGAATGTAAGAATGCTCACTGGGTGAAAATTGGTAGCAATACATTTACTAATGACACCAGCTTTATTAACAAATGTTCCATTTGTAAATATATTAATGTAGTTCACACCTGTTAAAGTTGCCAAGTAACTCTGTAACAATGAAAATAACTGGTAGGGATATAAAACTTTCTCCTCCATTATTAAATAACTAAACATCATCTCCAATGTGTTTGACATAAATGTAATGTCATTGGTTAACTCCTGCCTAATAGGTTATCTTGTGTAATGCAACAGTCATGAAACACAGGTAAGTATAAAGAATCGCATCTTGCAAACAGTAATGAGTTTTCATTGTTTTCATAAGCATAATAATTTATCACAAAAATTATGTATGCTTTACTGATACTGAAAAAATATTAACTATCTATTGTACTGTAACTGATTATGACACATTTCAAAATATTGATCACCATAGTACAATCACCACTTCATTTAAAAAAGTAAACGAGATAAACTCATCATAAAGCAACTTAAAATTTACATCGATTGTCCTTACAAACTAGTTTATTTAATACCACTACCAGTATCAGTAAAACTAAAAGTTAAACAACTACTTTAAAATTTTTAAATCTTAAAATCATGAAACTGACAAACCTTACTTTGCACTGCACTCTACAGAAACTTAAATTCTTCTTAATTCATTAATTAGAAATTTCTAAAAATAAGCCTAACTATAACATTTGACCTTTCAGTTATGAAGCATTAATGTCGAATATTCTTACCAAGCATAAAAATCTTAATATAACTTGGGGTCTTTGAACGAAAGATAATGGATCAAAAGATCCTCCAGCCTTTCCAGCTCCATAAAATCCTCCTTCCATTTTAAAACATAAGTTATTAATTTATTACGAAAATACCCGTACGTCTGACACGTGCTTCTCAAGACTACAGAGTATTCTCATTTCTATGCAAAGTAGTTACTTCAGGTTTGACTATAGGTGATTCAAGATATTTCAAAGAAATTAACCGAAAACTATAAAAATAATGATAATACCAGATATCACTTGTTATATTGCAAATGTTATGATTTACTCATTTACAAATAACAAAGCTTTAGCTTTTTAAAATTTTATGGTTTATTTTGAATGTTGGCCAACAATCATCAATCTTAAAACTATATAAACGTTTTTATATTTTGGGAAACTAAAATTATTATTATATATATATGTGTGTGTGTGTGTGTGCTGTGCCCCCCCCCCCCCAGTGGCATAGCGGTATGTCTGCGGACTTACAACACCAGAAACCGGGTTTCGATACCCGTGGTGGGCAGAGCACAGATACCCCATTGTGTAGCTTTGTGCAAAATTACAAACAAACAAACAATATATGTATATATTTATGTGTGCGTGTGTAAGACCCTTTGGGTCGTGTTTTAGGTTAAAGCAGGAGTTTGGTCAATGGACCTATACTGCAATTAACGTTCAGATGTAGACGATACTTCTTTTATTCGTGACAATAACACATAGGATGCACGCTGTTTTTTTGTTGTTGTTTTTCAATAGATGGGTAATGCAGCTGATAAATAACTAATGACATAAAATACTACAATCTATAGATATTAAATACTATTCACTTGACCCTTATAAAATGAACTCCGTGATTCGTCACTGTAGCGAACACTTTCATATTAAATGCCCCCCAGTAGCACAGCGGCATGTCTGCGGACTTACAACGCTAGAATCCGGGTTTCGATATCCGTGGTGGGCAGAGCACAGATAGCCCATTGTATAGCTTTGTGCTTAATTACAAAACAAACAATCATATTAAATATTGCTGACTGTCTTGGAACAAGCTGCGCAAAAGTAACTTTTTTACCCCAAGTTCTAATGATTATTTTACAATAAAGAACATGGCACTGTACAATTTCTATAACAAATGAGTCTAAATTTAAATCCTTTGTTATCCCGAGAGAATGAGCATTTCGTTAAAAAATATTGGGAAACTTAAGGAATTAAGATTTTCTGTTATTTTATGGCGAAAATATTACTTTGAAATTATATTTAAACATAGTATTCGTATTATCTATGCATAATAGAAAAATCATTGTATCATGTGTTCACTATCATAAGGTAGTTACAATGTGGGAAATGCATCTTTGACACACACACTGGTCTTAGATCCCTTGCGTAGGTATGAACGGTTCATAATGGTTGGAGACGGCTTGAATGGGTAATGAAGAAAAACTTTAATATAAGTTTAATATGACAGCAAATGTACAACGTTTCCACAAGGTT